GCGGGACGATCAGCCTGGCTAAGCCCACCCCAGCCCCCAAATCTATCGGCATCAACAGCTGCTTCTTCCAAAGGCGCCACATGCTCCCCGTAGCTTTGCTGTTTCTTGGCGCCCCGCGCCAGAAAAGGTAACCAAAAATTAAAAAAGACATTGCTGCTGCAAAATTAACAGGTGCCAACGCGTTAAAAGAAAAAACAATCCTGCTTTGCTTGGCACATCCTCGATGTTTTAGGTACCAAGTAACCAATTTCCTTCTGATCACAGAACCAAATGTCCTTCACCCTTGCTGGCAGGATGCTACGCCCAGGTTCACACGTCCAAAGCCCCTGGCTGCCCTGCTGCTGCTCGCGGTGAGCACCGGGAGCCAGCGTGGTGCCCCTTGCCCGAGGCATCCACCTCGGGGCCCCAGAAAGCCCTGCCAGCTGGTCCCCCTGGAAAGGTCCAAAACCAGACGCGGGAGGCTCAGCGCAGGTGCGTGGGGGTTACCCGCTCATCCCCTGGCTCCGGGGGGGGAGCCTGCCCAGCCACCACAGGTCCATCACCCTCAGCCAGGTGAGGCAGGTGCTGGCGCCAGCACAGAGGAGGGGGCTCAGCCCCAGGGGGTTTTGGCACTGGGTGCTTCACCGTCTCTCACCTTTCCTGGTGCTTTTTCCAACAGCCTCCCTGCGACTTGAACTCCTGTCTTGCCCCACCCAGGATTTTCCTGCGGCTGCACGATGGCCCCTGTATTTATTTTAGCCACTGTTCGGGCCAAGTCCTTCCTTCGCTGCCAGACCCAGCCAGATGGGGATAATTAGGCCTGGATTAAGTTAAAGCTTTAACTCTTTAATAAAAAGGCAGCAATGCTGCGCAGCCCCTCGCAGCTCCTCTCCACCTCCAGCCCCTCCCCGCTAGCCATCCCCTTTAATTTGTTGGTTTACAGGTACATGTTTCTGGAGCGCTAGGAAATCTCCACACCAACCAGATAAAAGCATTTTTTGCAGATTACTCACGCCCGCAGCAGCCGCCAGCCGAACAGATCCGGCATGGAGCAGCGTGCTGCATCCCCCCCTCCCTCTGTGGGAAAGCCCTGGCCACGGAGATGTGAACAGGCACCCATGTAGGGGCTGCAGGCCGAGGACCGAGTGCCCCCCGGCTTTGCAACCCCAGCAGGGCTGTGCCACATTAGCGGGAACCGCCCCGAGAAGCTGGGTTATTTTTGCAAGCACAGATCCATTAGTGTCCTACCTGCTAGAAGTTTTGGGGTTTTCCCCCCAAAACGTCGAGAGACACCCACTCACCTCTGTGGGATGCCCACAGCCTCACCTCCGCTCAGGAGCAACCTGCTGCCCCAACAAAGAGCTGGGGAAAAGAAAAAAAAAAAAACCCAAACCCAGCAGGGTGCCTGGGTAACCGGTCCCTCCCTCTCGTCCCATCTGAGCCCTGACACACCCGAATGGGGCACAAGGCGGAATAAAGCAGACTCTCAGCCACAGAGGGCTGCGTGGGGCTGGTGCTGCCGGCGAGCGGCTGACTCCCTCCAGCGGCTGTACCTGCCTCACAGAGCTGCTCCAGCTGCCCCTTCCTCCCCGTGAAATGCCCAAGGCACAGGTGAGCCGCAGCGGAGAACCACCCACACAAGCCGTTACAGCCACGGTGAGGTTCTCTGAAGTGCAGAGCTAACCAAAGACTGGATCTCACAGAGAACCACTTCATGCCACAAACCACTTCGATTTGAGGTGAGAGTGCCTGGATGGTTAACCCCGTTAACCTGTAGCTTCTGTCAGCCGCGTCCAAGGCAACACACGCTGGGGAGAACATTCAAACCAAACCAACATTTTTAACAGCTATTTATTACAAAACACCAAAATACATACTGAAAATATAAAACATTATCAAAACGGACATACTGGAGCACCTACAGCAGAGTCTTGCCTGGGGCCTCTCGGAGCTCTGTAGCACCCAGACCTCCGCAACCACCCTTGGCTCTCGCCAGCCTCCAGCCGAAACAATTCCACGCTCCGAGTCCCCCAGCTTTAGGTGTAATCACACTCGAACGCATACTCCCTCCTCTTGAAATGCTTCTTCTTTTTCAGCTTCCCAGACCCCAGGATGCTGTAGTTATAATCAGATGTGACATAAGGGATCTCTCCCTCAACTCCTTGCTGAAAGAGGAAATCCAAAACCAAACAACTTCAGAACTCATACCTTCAGGGAAGGGGAAGCACCTCCCTCTGCAGACCAACAGAGCAGACTGGTGGAAAGGAGCAAGCTACCACCCAACCAGCCCTGTTCTGGTATCTGAAACACGAGAACGCTCTCTTCTCCCTCATTTCTATGCACTGAGGACAATTTCCCAGAGAGATAGCCATCTGCCAATGCCCAGCCCTCTCTGGGCACACCTAACCCTCAGAAATGAGAAAATGGAAAACCCGCCAGCCCAAGCTCAGGCAGCTTCCACCCTCCTCCACTGCAGCTCCTACCTGGCCCACGAGAACGCAGTTGGGGATGGCAATACTGCCAAGGAGCAGACAATTCACTGCTCGCAGGTTCTCCGGCGGCACTGGCGTCAGAATGTGGTAAAGCTTCTTCTCCATCTCAACTCCTCGGACGATTCCTGAAAAAAACCCAAAACATACACACTAAGTTGAGTCTTAACTCCACTTGATCACTCCGGATCGTATAACCGGATGCAGCTGAAGCTCTTCAAATAAAACAGTTCTAGAACCGAGGGGCTCAGGATCAAACTCCCAGCAGAATCGTCATCTTAAATTGAGTTGAAGAAGGAAACCAATGGACAACTACAGGGATTTGGCATAAGCCGTGCGGAATCTGCTTGTGAGAACGTGAATCCAGAAAGCAAGTTTTGAATTGGCAAGTTTTTCATATGAGAGAGAGAGGGGGGGAAGCTCCAAAAGGTGCCGCTCAGCAACATTCCTCACAGATGTTAGCACAAGTTAATGAAAACTCCAGGACATCATCAGCTCTGTGACCCCCCCCTTTTTCAGTTGATTCTCAAAGAGCAGGCAGTTCTGTCGCTCTGCAACCTCTCTGTCAAAACACGACAGGCGGGAACACAGTGCGAGGTTCCCGGGCAGCTCACCAAAGCCAAGGCAATCACAGACCGGTGTCTGCGTCAGCAAGACGGGCCCGTCAGTTTGGCAGCTGATTTCATCTGGTATCCTACAGAGCCCGACCCAGCCGGCGTTCACTGCATACATGATATTGGTCGGAGCAACATCGGTGTGAATAACCCTGAGCGCAACGGCATTGAAAGGTACCTGAGGGGGGAAAAAGAAGAAAAAATTGTATCATTGGCTCAACACCGCTTTAGTTCAAGTTCCGAGAAGATAATGCTAAGTAGCCAAGACCTGAAAAGCCCCCAGCCCGCACCTACAGACAGGCGTTATCGCAGCAGCAAACACAACGGCTTCCATGCTAACAGCTCAACACACAGAAAACATGTGACACACCAACACTTGAACAAAAACCTCACGTTTAGGTACATGGAATGAAGTCACTATCCTTTTGCTGATTACAGTCTTTTTCCCTCTTGCAAAGACATTTGCTGTACAAGCAGAATGGTCAATTATCCAGAGCTGGGCTCTCTGCAACGTCTCGAAGCCTTTCAGAAAGGCTCATTACCTGGTAGGGCACAAGACTGTGGAGTGGGAGCACGGCCCCTATGTCTGGGGACTGCAGCTGACCCAGGTAACCCAGGATGGACATGTCACGCAAAATGCCGCTGTGCACTCGCCTGGAAAGAGAGCCACAACATGTGAGGGACAGGCAGCACGCCCTCATCCAGTGATTCAAACTGGATACCCCGAGCATGCCATGCAGGACTAGCTGCTATTTTGCACAAGTTTAGCTTTTAAAACTTCTACCGCTGAAGAAAGTTTACAGCGGGTTTTATTACCTCTAAGGGATCACAGGATTTAGGGCAATGTTTCAACTTTAAGAAGGCATTAATTAACAAGGGTGGTGTTTGGGTGGGTTTTTTTCCCTTTTTTTTTTTTGTAACAAACTCTGTTACTAGACAACGGGTAAGGAACCTGTCAATTGGACAAAAAAAGGAGACACAATACCCAGCAAGTCCAAGTGGGTGTTGTGCCCAGCATGGAAGCAAGTGGCTGGTGGTTACTGGAAGAAGAGCAGGGGGGAACAACCCCCTCCCCAACCTAACAATCCAACCCTACACAAACCTCCCCCCAAAAAAACACCCAGAAACCCAACCGCCCACCACCCAAAAGTAACCCCCCAGTAAGGAAACTGGTAAGCTCTGACCGATTTAACGGAGCTCTCGAGGCCAAGGCAAAACGAGAGCCTTTACCCTCAGGGCCACACACAATTTTGTAAGGCACACCGCCCACCATGTAGCGCCGAACTCTCTACTTACGCTTCACCTGCGACCCCTGCTCGAGGGAATTCTGGATGGACATACAGCAGCTTATACTCAGGAGCCGATGCATCTCCCTCCTCCTCAGAGGGCTTCCAGTCCTCCGCTCCACTCCCGCCCATCTGCTTGCACTTGCCTTGCTGCTTGCCCTTGGTGTACAGGCCAGGCGTCAGGTGGACGTACTGCGGGGTGAGCGGAGCCATGGCTTTCCAGTCGTATACGTCCATCTGAACAATGTGGCTGGGTGACAACAGCCGGATGATATCAATCAGAAGCAGCAACCCCTCACCTTTAGGGAGCAGAGAAAACACGATTGCTGCCGCTGCACGAACAGGGTGGAACACTGTTACAGAAGACCAGCGCTAGCTCAAGGGGGGCAAGCTGCATTTACTGGTTCCGGTCTCGCAGATTATTACCTTCCTTCTGCACCACCTTGAGAACAGATTTATCCCCTTTACCTTTCACCCAGCCCATGGTGTTGACGACTAAAGGCACTTCCTTCTTGTAGGAGCTGAACACGTACTTCACGACATCGAGGTATCGTTCTGTATCCTGCTCACAACTAGTCTGTCCGTAATACACCATCTTACGTGGCATTTGTTGATGAGTGAATGGTGGGCCTGAAAAAGCAAGCGTCCAACTTCTAGTGGTTTCATTAAGTCAAATCAAAAACCTCCCATCCCTGTAGCACCTACATGCAATCCCCTCCAAAACAGTCTGTCCTCTTTTCACAGGCCTGCACCTAGGGAGAAACTTCTGTCACCTGCAAGGCTCCATGCCAGGAGTTTGGTTTGGTTGAGGTTTGGGTTTTTTTCCTATTTTTGCTTTTTAAATCACTAGTTACACATTCAAGAATTTTAAAACAACAGTCTTCTAACCAAAAAGGAAACCTGCCTGGCCATATTCTTTTTAGACAGTGACCCAAATCCACCAGACCACAAATACCAGCAATTTCTCTGGCCGTAGTTTTTTTTGTTTTGTTTTTTTGTACTTGTAACAACAGCCCAAAATCTGCGTGGATCCACTTTGTATTTCTTAAGCTAGTTTTATCTATGGACACTAAGAACTGGGAAAGATTTTCCCAAAGAGACCTTTCAAACCTGAAAGGCTGAAAATCCACTTTGACATGCCACAGCCTCTTCCACCACCTTATAAGCAACTATATTCTCCTCTCTTTAAAGCAGAGAAAACAGCTCATGTTACTCAGGGATGTTTACACATGCTGCTTCAATGCCCCAGCAAGAAAACTTTTACAGTCTTTATTTTCCATATGCAGCAAATTCCCCTAAAGCACAGCCTCTACTCAGAAAGCACCTTCTGGAAATGAAACGGGTTTCCGGCAACTGCAGAAAACAGCAAAACACATACCAAGAATTGGCTCCGTTACGTTACTTAAAGACACACATCCAGGTGGCGTAAATTCGGTTTGACCTATGTCACATTCCATATATTCAACCGAGGGAAGGCTGCAGTGAAAGAAGCCCCTATATTAGCATCCACCAGAAAAAAGAAACAGGACACGACCTGGAACACATCAGAAGCACAATCTCATTTTGTTCCAGGCCGTCAAAATTAAATTCTTGAACAGAATCAAAGCACCACTTGTCTCCCTCCTTCCCTCACTTGAGGGGGTGCTAAGTGAGAACGCGAAAGGCTCACCTACGGTTCAGC